ACCCTCCCAATCCCCCACCTCCCCTCTTAGTTAAATAGGACCTCACCCTTATGGGTTCCCAACGTTCCGTAAGCCAGACACCAGGGTACTTGCCTCGATCCTACATCGCACCACCACTGTGGCACAGAGGCCATTTGACCCACGAATAGACCTGTGGTATCCATGCGTACATGGGTCGCACATGTTCCTTTTGGTGCGACCCAGGGAACCCGCCAGCTCATCCGCAGATGTTATATGTATAGACAGTGAATACTAGCTGGCAATGTTTATTCCTACTGTTTCTTTCCTTTTGTTGGTCCGACCGACCTTAAGGTCAGTACACCTTTTGTTAACGCATATCGATACTTGATTTATACCAACGACTGTACTCATTGTATGCCATGTTACTTGTTGAAAACTAATAAAAACCATTTGAAACAAAAAAAAGAAAAATCTCTGAATCTACAAATAACGTAAATTCATCCGAAAAACGAATTTTTCCAAACGATTCGCACATGTCTATTAATTTTAATTTAGTAGAGGAAAGTACATAAAACAACTAGTCAGCAACCATCGGCGCTCCGTCAGCATTGAACAGAAGCCGGATATGTAATCATCTTGTACCAGTTACTTTTCACATCACATTTGCTCTCTGCACTTTGTCTTATTGAATTATGAATGATTGTTCACTTCCGCCCTGATTCTAATGGTAGAGGCATTACACCCACACCGTGGCATGGGCTGTGTTACCCATCAGTTTGCAGTGGTGAGCGTGTAATTATCTAGCAAAATGCCTTGTTTGTGTTGTAACCGGAGGTGGAAGAGAACAAGCAAGACTAATTAATAACAGCCACTTACAATGTTCTGATCTGCAGGGGTCACAGAGGCTGGAGGACCTCCTGCATGGCCTTCTGGAACTAATGGCTCAAAGTCTCAATGGCCGACCCTTATGACACATGTTCCGTTAAACATTAAAAGCTCCATAAAGGTAAATCTGAGACAGACTTAGGATATCATTAATATTATGTACAAATGTAACCTGTAAAAGGATATAGCACATAGCCGTAAACCAATGTCTGCCATAGTTTTCCCACCACCTCCTCTGTGAACACAAAGGATATAGCACATAGCCGTAAACCAATGTCTGCCATAGTTTTCCCACCACCTCCTCTGTGAACACAAAACTCCCAACTGTCCTTCATTTGGAACCCTCCGTCCCTCCATGTCCCCCTTTAATCTCCTTACTTCCAAGGAGAACATGTTTAATTTTAGTAGCCTGTTCTCATAACTCAGCTCCTCCATCCCCTTTATGAGTTTGGTTGCCCTCCTCTGGACTCCTTCCAGTTCAAGGACATCCCCTCTGTTCACTGGTGCCCAAAACTGGACCGCATACTCCAGATGAGGCCGAACCAGTGATCTATAAAGTGGCACAATTATGGACTTGTCCCTGCAATACATTCCCCTCTTAATACAGGACAGGACTCTGCTTGCTTTGTTTAACGCCACCTGACACTGCAAGCTATTATTCAGCCTGTGCTCTACAATGACCCCCAAATCTGTTTCCCTTTCGGACTCTCCAAGGGGAGCTCCCATTAGTGTGTAATCCGTTCTCTTGTTTTTAACCCCAAAGTGCACAACTCTACATTTATCTACATTAAACCTCATCTGCCATGTGGTTGCCCACTCCCCTATTTTATCCAGATCCCCCTGTAATGTTATAGCGTCACATTCAGTGACTATTCCCCTCCCGATTTTGGTATCATCAGCAAACACTTAAACACGGCTGTTTACCCCTTCCCCAATATCGGTAATGAGACGCCAGAGAAGTTATCATTCCGCCATGTGCTGGATCTTTTTCTTTTTACTAATACTTTTGGCCAGAATTTCTCTTCCCCTCTCATTACAGTGTCATGCGCCACCTACAGGCTGCTGTGGCGTATATCCTTTTTAATGATTTCCACAGTAAATTCCAGTCCATCACATGAGCAATTGTAGCCAACAATGCTGGAAATGAAAGAAGAAAAGCCAGAGATGAAAATAGTATTACTGATTATAAAAATGTCAATGTGCATTGTACATGCGGTTTCACATGCATGCAGTGGTGGGGACCCTAATGTAATATTACAAATCAGGTCTATTCACTAAAGAGTGAAGAGTTTGGAGAAGGCAGGAGAAGTGAACAATCCAGGACAACATGGCTGAACTGGAAAGCGAGCTGAATTGGAGAATTTTTCCAAATCCGCTATTTTGCCTCGATTGTTCACTTCTCCTGCCTTCTCCAAACTCTTCACCCTTTTGTGAATAGACCTGTTTATATTCGAATTGGGAAAAACTCCATCTAGTGGCTAAAATATAATATTGCAATATACTACATTTGAACTGATAGAAAATACACTGCCTGGCCAAAAAAAAAAAAAGTGTCACTTTAGCTTTGATTACGGCACGCATTCGTTGTGGCATGGTTTCGATAAGCTTATGCAATGTCACGTTTATTTCCGTCCAGTGTTGCATTCATTTTTCAGCTAGATCTTGTAGTGATGATGGGAGAGTCGGACCATTGCGTAAAGTCCAGCACATCCCAAAGATTCTCAATGGGGTTAAAATCTGGTGGTGGCCAGCCCATGTGTGACAATGATGTCTCATGCTCCCTGAACCACTCTTTCACAATATGAGCCCAATGAATCCTGGCATTGTCATCCTGGAATATGCCCAATGTGCCATCAGCGAAGAAAACATCAATTGATGGAAAAACCTGGTCATTCAGTATATTCAGGTAGTCCGCTGACCTCATTTTGTGAGGACATAACATTGCTGAACCTAGACCTGACCGACTGAAGCAACTCCAGACCATAACACTGCCCCCACTGGCTTGTACGGCAGGCACTGGGCATAATGGGTGCATTACTTCATCCTCCTCTCTTCTTTCCCTGATGCGCCCGTCACTCTGGAACAGGGTAAATCTGGACCACATGACCTTTTTCCATTGCTCCGGAGTCCAATCTTTATGCACCGTAGCAAACAAGCCTTTTTTGTTTCTGATGAGCCGCACTGATAGATGGTTTTCTTAAGACTACACAGCTGTTTAGTCTCAATCCCCTTGAGTTCTCTTCACATTGTGTGTGTGGAAATGCTTTTACTTCCACAACTAAACATAGCTGTGAGTTCAATGTGGATTTTTTTTAGTTCAATTTCACCAAACCAGTAATCTCTGATAACGATCATTCAAGATTTTTTTTCCGACCACATTTCTTCATTGAAGATGATGGTTCACCACTGTCCTTCCAGGTTTTAATAATGCATTGGACAGTTCTTAACTAGGGATGCACTGATATCGATACTAGTATCAGTATTGGTGCCGATACCGAGTATTTGGGTGAGTACTTGTACTCGTCCAAATGCTCCGATATCTTCCCCGATACCGGAACTTCTGGTCAGAGGGAAATTTCCTCTGACTGGCAGTGCCGCGAGGGAACATGGAGCTGGCTTCCCGGCCAATCAAGAAGCCAGGCGGCGGGTAATGACTTGCTCCACGGTGTTTGGCCGGCTCCATACTGATTGGCCGATAAGCTGGCTCCATGCTGATTGGAGTTGGCTTCTCGGCCAATCAAGAAGTTGGGCGGCGCATAATGGTTGTTTTAGAAATGAGAGGCTACTGACTGCATCAGTAAGGGTTAAATAACTTTTTGTCAGATGAAACATATTAATCACAGCAGTACTTATCCAATGGAAGGCTCTTATTTGCTTAGCTAAATACAGGTGGTGACTTTGTTTTGCCAGGCAGAGTATATTAAGAACTTTTTTTTTTGGCATTATTCGCCCTAAATTAATGTTCACAGATATTTGGACCCCTAGATGTTTGGGGTGTGTCACAAGGAAAGACAAGGGCCCTTTGGATCACATTACAGGCAGGCTCCACAATCTTCAGTCGAGGCATGGCCTCCAAGCCAGCACCAAAGATTAGCTGACCCGGATGGCTGCTGTGTACACATCAGCTCAAGCAGCTTAATAAAAGTCCTGATTGAAGAGAAATAACATCCAAGAAATACCAGATAAGCTCGACAGAAGTAAAAAAAAGATTGGAAAACTATAACTGGCTAAGCTGAAGAGAAAGCGTCCAACCTCTTAGGATTCTAGCAAAAAAAGAGGCATGGTGGTCGGAAGCGGGGTTATACAGTGTCCAGACCTTCTGAAGGCAGCAGCATAACCAAGTTGTATATGATTTCTATTTATTTTGTGCCCCTCAATGGGCGATACAGAAAACTGCTTTTAATTACCCCCCTAGACAAAAGTGAGCATTTAACCCTTGAAGTGCAGGGGGAACCCCACTACAAGGTTCAAATATTTATTATAACCAAAGTTCAACTTTAAAGCGGGACAACACCCTCCTATCCTTTACAGCCAAGGAAGGTGCCATCTTGGCCTCTGTTTTGATTGCAGTTGCCATGGTGCTGCACATGTGACCAGCTATGACACCAACCATTTAAGGGCTTGAATGTTCGGTTGAGAGTTGAAATAAGCACACTGGCAACCTTGACAGCTGGCATGAATTAAAAGTAACTGTTTTGGCAGACATTGGGGAGAATATATCAGAACCTGGAGCACCTGTTGGCTGGTCTCTTAAGTTTGTTCTGTTAAGCTTTAAAAATGAAAGATAGAAGCTGATTGGTTGCCATGGTCAACTGCTCCAGATTATTTGCATCGATCAAGTCTGATCAGTGCAACTTACTGCTAGGTGTGAAAAAGCCCTTATTTACTCATATTACACATTTGAGCAAAAAAATATGAAACATCACATAATAAAACTTGTAGATAAAAAAAAGGAGGGTAAACAGTTGAGGTAGTGATTGAGACCAACTAACACAAATGGTAATTGCTAATCATTTCTTGTAACTGGGGGGTACATAATAATCTGGATGTGAACCCCATAACTATAAACCAGCTTGCCCATTTAAAAAATGGCCGCCATTGCGTTCGGCACTTACGTAATGACGTTGCAATAGCGTAGCCTGGGATTATCTCGCGAGATATAGACAGGTGTCCGGTTGCTAGGGCCGCCTGGTTACCGGGCCGTAGGCTAGGAGGTAGTGTGTGCGCACACCTCCTTTCAACTCCTCCCCGGTGTAGAGCTGCCTGCCCAAGCGCGGTGACGTGTCCCTGACCCGGGGAAGAGAGGAGATCCCCGGGGGAGCCGGACAGGTACAGTTCTCTGCTACATAGGGCATTGGGGGCGCGGGATAGGGGGAGGGGGAGTCTGTCTGTGGAGCTGTCACCCACATGAGGGTTTCCTGCATGTGTGAGCTGTCATTACCTGCGTATGTCTTTGTATGATCCGTCTCTATGAGCTGTCATCCTGCCTGGAGGAGTTCTCATTCCCTGTGTACAGCATGTGTGTTTCCTGTGCCATCCATCTGACGATTTACTGATCGTATTGTTAAAGTCTTTTTAAAGCCAAAACTTTGGTTTATTTTTGATAGAGTACGAAAGGGTTACAACAGCATCAGTGTCTCATTAGGGGGATTCCCTTTTACTTCCGGTCCTGCAGACTAAACAGGAAGTGAGAGGATACCTGTCCAATGTGAGCGAAATACCCTCTTAGACAGTTGTCATGGAAACAAGTGTTTCCGTTGGTAGATTTCCCCTCTCTTCCTGTTCCTGGTGGCAGTTTAAAATGTTGACATTCCCATCACTTTCAGGGCTCGTTCCCACCAACAGCCTGAATGCAGGACGAGGCAATTTGGCTTCTCATAGATGGTGACAGTTCAAACCACTGCGTTCTGGTGGTAGCGGCATCCTGCAAGGGGGGGTGCGTTCCGCAGTGGGTGACACCATCAGAGGGGGTGGCACCTAAGTGGCTGACAGTCATTTTGGTGTCGCCTTCTCTGAAAAGTCAAGCACTTGGTCATGGACCGAAAGCTGCGTGCGAGAGGAGGGGACCCGGCGGCATAGCTTATACCAATGGATGAACGTCCCCTCCTCTCTGTGCCAGTGTCCGTCACCAAGATAGCCGTCAGCAGTAAAGTGCACACAATGTCATTACACGCGTGTAATGACGTTAGCGACGGGTCACACCCGGCCTGGAGACGCCCCTGTATAGTGATGTGTACTTAAGTACGGCATGCATTACTTTTTTTCTTTTTAAGCGCACTGCAGTGAGCCCATAGTACTTAGTGAAATGTCACTTGTGACATTTCAATAAAGTTCTAACAAAATAAACAGTGTGACGTGGCTTGATCAAGCACATCAGCACTATGCGGGCGCACACATCAGCAGCCATGAGGTTGAGCAGTGTGAAGAAGCCCTCATTCCCGGTGACGTTATAACTTAGCATCGCCCTCTTCATACAACTCATACCTCTGCCAGGTCTACATGTGATCATCCTACATACATGAGTTGTGGTATCCCTGTACTCGTCATACATGTGACAGCGTACTGTTATTATTGTTTGGTCATCATCGTCATCCTTCTCCTCTTCATACCTGTGCTACCTCTACCTAGCCTGTATCTGTATGAACTGTCATTGGCTCAGTGCATCCTTACATAAAACCATATAATGCAAAGAGGGTGTACTTTCTTTTTCACACGACTGGCTGTGTGTTTATATCATTTCTTTTCCATAGATATATATATTTGTGTGTTATTTGATATGAGAACATGGATGTATGTTGTCCGATTTGTGTGATGAGCTGATTTTGATCTTTGTATACAGGTGGACAATATGGATGAGATTACTCTGGATGGAACGTGGTAATATAACCACAGTTATGGGTTGAACGTTTCTTCCTCCTCTACTCAAGAACCCGTCTTCTGATAAGTCTCCAATATGGGGCGGTGAGTATTGGGGTTCATGTTGGCTGCACTTCAGGAATACAATATATTTTGAAAGGAGTTACATAAGACAACAAATATATTTGGGGGGAAGTTACTAAAACTGGAGCAGCTGTGCGTAGTAACCAATCCGCTTTCATCTTCAGCTTGTTCAGTTAAAGCCGACTTTACCCCTTTTCACTAAAATTCACCTCAGCATTAAAAGAGAACTATGGGGTAACCATTATATGCTATAGTTCTCTTTAGGGTCACGGGAGGACATATACTAACCTCCTCCCCTGACCCAAAGCTCAGTATATAGCGGGCTATTGCCAACAATATACTGAGAGCGCCACAGCCGGGACGGATCCCGACAATACTGTCGTGATCCACCCAGCTGCGTGAGTGACAGCTGGCTCTGCCTATCTAGAAGCAGAGCCAACTGTACCCGCCCCCTCCCCTTTTCTGTTCCTCCAGTCAGTGCTGGAGTATCGGACAGGGGAGGGGGAATCCCTGCGGGGAGAGGGTGACTGACAGTCACGGGAAGTGGGCGAGAGACGGTATGTGTTCTCTGACTTCACAATCTATAGAGCCGACGTGTGATCGTTTCAATGTCACACGTCGGCTCGAACTATGAGGATGAGTGTACATCACTCACCTCATAGTTCTCCTTTTAAGCTCCACATGCTGATATAAAGTTATCTTACATTCTTATTAGTTAAACATATTTTTCTTTTACTTACAATCTTACTGCTTTTCCAGTTCCTGGTTCTCTTGGGCGTTAGTGATGTAATTGTGCCCAAGTGTTGCATCCTGGGAAGGTTACATCAGCAGAGCATTGCTGGGGAAATCTCATCTGTAATCTCCTGAGATCTCAGGGACAGGCATTTTTCTCCCCTGAGATGATGTGCATGGTCACATGTCCTAGTCACATGTGCCAGACTTCCAGGAAGTAAGTGAGATCTAGTAATGGCCCCTGTGAGAAGACTTCCTCCTTCCTGCAGCCGAATGGTCACATCTCAGCTTCAGATTTTTATAGGTTGATAAGTTGCCACCTGTGCAATAAGTCCATCTGTGACATTTCCTTGCTACTAAATATTCCACGGTCACCTGTTAGAGGTATTATAACAAAGCAGAAGCAACTGGGAACAGCAACTTAGCCACGAAGTGGTAGGCCACGTAAAATGACGGAGCGGGGTCAGCGCATGCTGAAGTGCGCAGAAGTCGCCAACTGTCTGCAGAGTCAATAGCTACAGACCTCCAAACTTTGTGTGGCCCTCAGATTGGCACAACAACAGTCTGTAGAGAGCTTCATGGAATGGGTTTCCATGGCCGAGCAGCTGCATCCAAGCCTTACATCACCAAGTGCAATGCAAAGCGTTGGATGCAAGTAGTGTAAAGCACGCCGCCACTGGACTCTAGAGAAGTGGAGACGTGTTCTCTGGAGTGACCAATCACGCTTCTCTGTCTGGCAATCCGATGGACGTGTCTGGGTTTGGCGGTTGCCAGGAGAACGGTACTTGCCTGACTGCATTGTGCCAAGTGTAAAGTTTGGTGGAGGGGGGATTATGGTGTGGGGTTGTTTTTCAGGGGTTGGGCTTGGCCCCTTAGTTCCAGTGAAGGGAACTCTTAAGGCATCAGCATACCAAGACATTTTGGACAATTTCATGTCCCCAACTTTGTGGGAAGAGTTTGGGGATGGCCCCTTCCTGTTCCAACATGACTGCGCACCAGTGCACAAAGCCAGGTCCATACAGACATGGATGGGGGCGTTTGGGGTGGAGGAACTTGACTGGCCTGCACAGAGTCCTGACCTCAACCCCATAGAACACCTTTGGGATGAATAAAAGCGGAGACTGCGAGCCCGGCCTTCTCCTCCAACATCAGTACCTGACCTCACAAATGGTCCAACATTCCCATAGACACACTCCTAAACCTTATGGACGCCTTCGCAGAAGAGTTGAAGCTGTTGTAGCAGCAAAGGGCGGAGCCAACTCAATATTGAACCCTACGGACTAAGTGGGGATGCCATTAAAGTTCATGTGCGTGTAAAGGCGTCCCAATACTTTTGGTAATATAATGCATTATACTCGTGCTGTATATTGCTACGTCAGGAATTTTTTTCATGCAGGCTTGATACTGACAGGTCCATTTTTTAAATGTCATCTCTGTTGCTGCAGCTATTTTCACATCAGATGCCATGAATACTATTGAAGCAGGAAAATTCCCTCAGAGTTTGAATCCTGTGAGCTTACATTGTATTTCTTACACCAATTTCATCATATTCTTGTGGGGTTTTTTCAGCTTGTACCTGTTTTAACCCTTTAAACCTTTTGCATTCCAGGATCAGCATATCTTGCCTCCTTCCGGCTTCCTGGCACTTCAGCTTATCCCCCGGTGGGTGCCCGCGTGCTCTGAATACCACCTTACGCCAGCTGGTTGTTATCGGTGTAGTGGCTGCCATCCTCTTCTTGCTGTTCTACTCTTTACTTCTAGTCCGTACCAAGTACAGCCAATCCCAGCGAGACCGCAAATATCAAAGGTAAAGCACGTTTCTTATTAAAGGGCCACGTTTGTTTTAATTAAACATAATAAATGTTTCTGAGATTTCTTTGACCTGAATAGATATAAAGGAGAAGGTCAGGATTTGTTTCCAATTATCCCTTGCAGTGCAGAACTATGAGGTGAGTGATTTACACTCACCCCCATAGTTAGAGCCGATGTGTGACATTGAAACTGTCACACGTTGGCTCTATAGATCGGGAAGTGAGCGAACACATACCGTTGCTCGCTCACTTCTCGATCATCTCCCTGCAGAGAGCCGTGACTGTCACTCATCGCTCCCTGCAAGGATACCCCCTCTCCCATCTCCGATCCTTCAGCGCTGACTTGACGGACAGACGGGGAGGGGGCGGGCACAGCTGGCTTTTCCGGTAGATAGAGCCTGCTGTCAATCAGCCAGCTGGGTGGAACTCGAAAGTATTGTCGGGATCCGTCCCGGCTGTGGCGCTCAGCCCGCTGTATACTGAGCTTTGGGTCACGGGAGGAGGTTAGCATATGTCCTCCCCTGACCCTAAAGAGAACTATGAGATATGAAGGTTACCTCATAATTCCCTTTTTAAGTGCTCCTTTTGGTCTATGGAGGAAAATAAAGCATAACTCCGGGTGGATCAAATCTTAACACTTGCAGTGGGGCTATCCCGCACTGCAAGGGTTAAGTGCTCGTTTTGTCTAGGAAGCTAAAATAACAAAGATGTGCTCCCCCAAACCGCGATCCCAGCTGGCTCTTAGACTTGTCCCTGCAGCCTCACTCCCCCCTCCGCTCCAGCGGTCTAAGGTCCTGTGAGTCGTCACATTCTATACAGTGTATTTGACTTGAGGTTGCTGAGGAACGTGCCATCGCTGGAGCGGAGGGGGGAGTGAGGCTGAAGGGACCGGTCTATGAGTAAGCTGGGATCGGGGTTCAGGTGAGTATAACCTTGTTGTTTTAGCTCCCTAGACATAATGAGCCCTTAACCCTTGCAGTTGCAGTACAGGGTAGGCCCACTGCAAGAGTTAAGATGTTATTTGCCCGGAGTTCTGCTATAAAGAAAATACTCCCCTGATCCCTCGGTCCCACTAGTTGGAGCAGGGGGGGGGTGGGGGGGAGAGGTGAGCACTGACTGCCTGGGTCCCATGCAGTGATCGGCCTTTTTTCAGCCTCAGATGGGAAATATTTGCACTTTGCTGCATTAGAATTGTAAATATAATATCAGATTGCTGAAGATAGGTAAAGAAAGTGAAGCTTTCATAGCGATGAAGCTTATCTCTACATTTTAAATGGAACTGAAGTCGTATTTCACATTTTCTTGACCTTTAAAGTGAGTAAATTGGATTAGGCACCTCAGGGAAACTTTTACTCTGAGAACAAAGACAAACTGGTTAATCCACCAATGTGACGTCTCCTGATAACCATAGGACGGGCTTATTACCTCCTTTCATCATTCATTTCATTCTTTCTCAAACCTCTTTGGTTGTTTTTTGGCTTATTGCCACCTCAAACATGGATATCTTTCAAACCCATTAATCCAATATATTTCCTGTTAAACATGACGTGTAGTGTACACATCTGATACCCGTCCCCCTTGATCAACACACAGTTAAAGTGACATTAAAGTAAAAAAAAAATTCCCTCCCCCCCAATGTTAATGTCAGCACTTACCTTAAATGAGGTTTCTTAATCTGATCTTCTTTCCTGATGTTTTCATCTGTCCCTCCAGCGGTGCGGCGGCTCTCCGATCCAGCGCTGACTCCTCTCTGCTTGCTGGCACTTCCTATCCCACGGTGTCTGCATGCGGGTGCACGCGTCCATAGACATACCTTGCGTCTCTGCTCGTCTCCCGGCTGAAAATCCGAACTGCACATGCGCCCGCCCCAAGATGCTTTGCGGCCGCCCGAGCAATTTCCGATTCTCTGGCGGCAGCGCGCGACGAAAACATTGTAAGGTTAAAGCGTTTTGGTTTTTTAAAAACTTTTTGCCTATATCTTACTGCTTGCTAGCAGATTGCTGGCCGGGAGCTTTACGTTCAAGCGATCGGGCATCTCTAGAGACGCCCGATCGCTTGTATTAGCAGCAGCTGTCACTGCCGTTGCCGGTCATGAGATCCGCTGTGTCCGGTGCGGCCGGGACCGGCACGGCTGCTCTGTGACAGGAGATCAAAGGGAGTTCATTACACGAACACCCTCTGATCTCCTTTCCTGTCCCCGAATGCAGGAAGTGATGTACATTACATCACTTCCGCATTCTGTTGTCACTCTCCAGCTTCAGAAGCTGGTGAAGCAGATTCTCTGGGGGTCCCTAGGTGACATTAGGGGTCTTGGACATCCCTGATGTCTCCATAAAGAGGACCTGTCACTGCAAATTGGCTATCTCATAGGGAGCTTCTTAGCCCCCTATGTGATAGCAATAAAGTTAAGTGTAAATTTTTTTTTAAAAACACTACTTTTAAGTCCCCCGCCCCCACATACACACGCAAACATGCGTTGGGTGCGCCTATGTGCGAAAACGACCATTGCGTCTATTGTGCCGCACATGTTACATATCACAGCGAACGTCGCAGTGAAAGCAATAATTCTAGGGCCATCAATTACTGATAACACTAAACTGGTAAGCGGTAAAAGCGTTTATAGTGTTGCCTATGGGCAATTTTCGATGTGGTCGTTTTTTACGATTTTGCGGGCGCGTAATTTTTAAGGCTTGACATGTTTGGGGTCTATTTACCCGACGTGACTCCATCTTTTATATTTTACCAAAAATATGGGTAAGAATAAATGTTTTATAACATAGCGTAGGGGGAAACATTTTTTTTTCTTTTTCAAAATTGACAGTACTTTTTTCATTATATAATAAAAAATAACCCCCTCCCCAGTGGTGATTATATACCACCAAAGGAAAGCTCTGTGTCCCTAAAAAATGTTAACATAAATTGCAAGGCTATAGTCCAGTCATGCTGACTGGTGAGACACCCTAACATTTTTCAAGCCCTGATTATATGAAAGGACACATCCAAAGGATCCTTTTAGACGTGTCTGCTTCTCCTTGCTGACCATTGGTTGCTGCTGATGTGAGACATACAGCCCACTTACACCATCTGCATTTGGGCTGCTCTGGCTGTGGTTTCCAGCGCAGCCCCAACACAAGGCAAGGCAATTTGCCATGTCATGAATGGTACCCATTCACACCACAGTGTTGCAGTGTGGTACAGCTGCCTTACACCCCGCTGTGCCCGTAGAAAAAAACTTGTGACATATTTTTTTTTGTTGTTAGAACTCTTCGAGCTCTTCGGCACTGTGTGGGCACCTCACCCCAGACTGTGTGTGAGTAGCGCAACGTCTGGTCTCAATTGGCCAGTAAAGATGAGTTCCTATTATGAAGTATTATGCATATTTGCTCTTCAGGGAACTGGGGAAAGGTTTTGTAACACCTGGTTTTACTGGAATGATTTCCTTGGTTTGGAGGAATATGATTGCTGTTGGAACTTGTGATGGTTGAGGGCATTCCACCGATACTGTTGCTCCACCACCACTCTTTCCTTGCCTACCTGTCAGTGCCCCACCTCTTGGGTACCCCACCACCCTCTTTATACCTTCTCCTCCTCCTGTCCCGATTTCTTCCTATTCTGAATGCATCTATGCCACCTTTTTAGTTCTATCCTCTTCTATATACCGTGTTTCCCCGAAAATAAGACACTGTCTTATATTTTTTTTTTGGTTCAAAAAAACACACTAGGTCTTATTTTCAGGGTAGGTCTTATTTTTGTATTTTTTTATGTACCCTACAACAATCCACACTTATTCATCTACAACAGTCTACATTCATGTATTGTATTCATGTACAAAAATATGGTGATCAGTGCAATCAGGGGTGCCGTACCTTTCCAAGAGCAGTTTGCTAACCAATCGCTGGCCAGAATGAGCGAAGAGCACTTTCACTATCGATTCCCCACAGGCGGAGTGCCTTTGGTATCACTCCGCCTGTGACAGGAGCCAGCACTAGAGGAGGCATCGGCTTATGCGGCTCTGCTCCCTCCGCTGCCGCCTCGCTTTCTCTAGCGCTGGCTTCGTTGGCACCGCTGATTCTCTCCCGCGGCTTTTCAAGTTCCCCCTTATGCCACCACCGGCCCTGGGAATGGTCACAACTAGGTCTTATTTTCAGGGTAAGTCTTATTTTCGGGGAAACAGGGTATATCTGAAAGACAGGAGCCACCTGTCCCAAACCCTGATAGGTCCCATTGGAATCCCACTGCACTCCCTACTGGTAAACCTTTGTGTAAAATGGGTGCTGAAATGACTCCGGATGGCACGGCTCCAGTCAATCTACGAAGAGGATGCCACCAGCACACCGAAATGTAGGTCCAAACAAATGTCTTTTATTGACTCGCAAAGATGGCCATCTCGCCCGCTCGGCATAGTGGCCGTTCAGAGAATGTATTTTTATCAGTGAATACATTGTAATGTCACCGCACTTTGGGACTTCCAAAGAATTTTGCTAGAGTGATCAACAGCTACCTTTTTATTGAAAGAAATGGAAAGGAAAAACATGAGAAGTGCACTATATAATTTTAGATGTTGATTACACACAGTATATGCAATTGTATAATGCAGGCAGATCATGGCTGGTGGGAGGGCCCGGCCGGGTGCTGTACATAGCTTCCAGAAACCATTACAGCTCCCTGCCTCAGCACTCAGTTCAAGCAGTGGGCTGGCATTTGGGAGGAGTTATGTAAATATCAACATGCTTTGATGGGTGGAGGAGGAGCGGGTGTTCTGGGCAGGCTGCGTTTGCACTAGGTAACACCAACATGTGATGCCGAGCCTCCATGATTCCAATTAATGAAAGGGGCGGGCCAGGGACATTCAGGCTGGGGAAGAATGAGGTAGATGATGCTGGATGTCCCTCAGCCAGGAAATGCAACCTGACTTTTTTTTTCCTAAAGCACATTGCGAGAAGCTCACTGTGTGCATTGAAATCAGAGTCAGCAATTTCAGAACAGGAGAGGAGCCGGAACGCGACTGAAGGGAAGGCCGGGGATCAGCTTTAAGCTGCACCCCACAGTAAAGTAAACATGGCCGGCCCAGTCTATATGATGGTACTGCAGCCCTTGTACACGTTGGTACCTGTGGACACCCACCCGTCTCTTCTCTTCTCTCAGCGGAGCACTGCCCAAAGATTGGTACACCAACTATAACAGTGTCACATACAGTGCTCGTATATGTATGAGCTGCACGAATATTCGATGCCAGTCATAACTCTCATTTCTTTTTCCCTATAGGTACCTGGCTCGCGTTACTGACATTGAAGCCACAGACACCAACAACCCCAATCTTAATTACGGTGTAGTGGTGGACTGCGGAAGCAGCGGGTCCCGTATATTTGTGTATTGCTGGCCGCGGCATAATGGAAATCCTCACGACTTGCTGGATATCAAGCAAATGAGAGACCAGAACAGGAAGACCGTTGTCATGAAGATCAAACCAGGTAAATGGTGTAGATGAGAAATGTGTGTTGGGGGTAGTGAGTAACCTGGGTCCAGCGAAACGGGTATAGAATAAAAATTGTCTTGTGTATGCCATGTGTGCATGTTTATGTTGGTCTGTGTTTGGAGACTTTATTGGATTTAGTACTCTATAGGTATTACCTACTAAGGCAGCATATCAGTGGTCGTCTTCCTGTGTCTGCAGGCTTGCAGGATATGACATTCAGTAAAGGGGAAACATAGAAGAGTGATACCGGTGCTTCTGCTGGCATGGACCTGGCTTCCCAGGTAATCAGGAAGCCGGGTGGCGCGTAATGACACGCTGCCCAGCTTCCTGATTGCCCATGAAGCCGACTCCATGTTGTTTGGCCGGCTTCCCGGCTAATCAGGAAGCTGGGCCGCAAGTAATGACCCGCCTCCCGGGTTCCTGATCGGCGGGAAGCCGACTCCATGCTGATTGCCCCCAATACTGATACTAGTAAAAAAAAAAAAGAATCCCACAGGAAGACCAGTGATAATGGTCCCCTGATCCCACAGGCAGAGGCCAGTCACGGGGGTGCCCCGGGCAGAGGCCAGTCACGGGGGTGCCCCGGGCAGAGGCCAGTCACGGGGGTAATTGCTGATTAAACGTTGACTAATAATCAAACAATAGATGAGGGTTTGGAGCTCTCAGTGCACGTTCCCATGAAGGTTACACAGTGTAAAACGGGGCAGAGACCTACGAATGATCCGGCACAGCAATATTTTACTGTTTAGCAAGTGGCACATTTTAGCTTTGAAGAATCATAAAAAATGTATTTCATCTGTAAAATATAATCGGGTCACAAATATAAAACAAAACTCTGCTTGTGTCTGTGAGGTGCACCTGACGTTTTGTAGCAGACGGTATACTACAGAAAAATATATAAAGGTAGAATAAGCCACCACCAGTGTATGGAGAGCTTTACAGAATCACCTTCTTTGCTTTTAGTAGCAGGAAGGGAGTTGTCTTTTGCTTTGAAAGAATCTCTCCTCCATCGTCACATTGCTCTTCCTCTAATGGTATAATATTTCCATATACAATGATTCTATATATTACAAGTACAACACACAGGTCCTTCCTACCAGCCTGTATGCAAATAGTTTGGTGGGTCTGTATAACCGAGTGTTCTAGGACAGCTTCTGTGCCTGCCGGATATACTGCAGTATACAGAAACACCGTCCTGTGAAGGTTCTCCTTCATCCAGGTCATGGTATAGCTGGCAGTACCTAGTCACATTCCAACTGGACTGGTTCTGTAATGTTGAAGATGTTTCATCGCCTCTCCAACCACTGAACTGAAGAAGTGACTTGGATAAGCTATAAAAAAAATTTAAAGTGACGCTAAACTCAGGAGTTAAATCTTAAAAATACATTCAAGTACCGCAACTATTAACCACTTGTTGACCAGGTGTTACACCCCCTTCCTGTCCTGGCCATTTTTCAGTATTCAACTTGTATGTATGGGGGGGACTTTAAAAAAAATATATATATTTTTTTAAATTCTTTTTCATGTGTAACTTTAAAAAAATTTGGGGAACCTTAATTTGTTTTTACTATTTTTTTTTTCCCACTTAACTTTATTGCTATCACATAGGGGGATAGGAAATCCCCTTATGTGAGGATGTGACAGGTCCTCTCTCAGAGATCTGCTTCATCAGCTTCTCACCAGCGTCTGAAGCTGGAGAGTGACACGACAATGCGGAAGTGATGTAATATACATCACTTCTGCATTCTGACACCGGAGAGGGGACCGGAGGGTGATCGTGTACCGATCACCCTCTGATCCCCTGTTACAGAGGCACTATGCTGGTCCCGGGCTCGCACCGGGCACAGCAGAGCCCCGGACCAGCAGGAGGGGGGCTGCAGGGGCACGGACCAGGGGACCTCTATAGCCGGCGGATCGCTTGTATGTTAACAGGCATCACTGCCTGTTTTGAAATCTCGGTCGTTTCCCGCTCACGTGTGCCGCGCGGCGTTGACAGGCCTTATATACACGGCCTTTTACATCCAGGCAGCGCATGGGAGGCGGTTAGAGGATAAGTTCACCTTTTGCAAAAAGTAAAGAAATGCATATTTAATAATATATATAGATAGATCTATCTATAGATATATATAAAAATGCATTTCTTTACTTTTCAAGCCTGGAAATCATTGCAACGGTGATCACTCGATCAGGGCTGCAGAGCTCAGTCTTCTGCACATTCCCATACAGGGCTTCATACTGAGGGTACAGAGTTTTAGTTAGGAGAGATGGGGTAAGGACTTCAAACTGCATTATATTGCCTCATACAGCGTCCAGCTGTCCTCTTTCTGGTTAGATGTGGTAGATCTGTCCTTCAAGTCCAGTCGTCCTTTCCCATCTCTCCTAATTTAAACTGTGCCTCCAGTATGAAGCCCTTGATTCCCATCTACCCTGTAACAATTGCATCTCCTTTTAAATGCTTTCAGCTGTCATTTGCCCTATTGTTTGACACCAATTGCATTGTTTATATGTAATCACAAATACAAGACTCTGCTGGTGCCACCAAACATCTTATCAATCCCATTAACATATGCCTCTCTCTCTTTGCATATTGTTTGCGGGGGAAGAGTTTGTTATTTACTTACGCATACACCTGAAATATACCCCTAATATATCTACAGGCAGGTATGGGAATGTGCAGAAGCCTGAGCTCTGCAGCCCTGACCGAGTGATCACCGCAATGCTTTCCAGGTTTGAATGCAAAAAATGGAAGAAATGCTTTTTTTTAAAAATATATATTATTACATTTGCATTTCTTAAATTTTTGCAAAAGGTGAACTTATCCTTTTAATAAAAATGTCTCTTATTTGTGTATCCCTCGGCTGTAGGTCCTCAAATCATCTCTGAATTGGTGCCGACACTGTCCTTCCTTCTGGAGGGGGGCTGCTTTTGGTCCCCATGGTCCCTGTGTGTGTTGTAGAGTAGTCACCGCTCCAAGCTCGCTTCCGTGATGGACTACAATCTCATGTTTAGTTTCCTAATTTGTATTGAGATTGTAGTCCATCACAGGAGTGAGCTTGGAGTGGTGACTACTTTACAACAAACTCAGGAACAATGGGGAACAAAAGTAGCCTCCCTCCAGAAGGAAGGACAGTGTCAGCACAAATTCAGAGATGATTTGAGGATCTACAGCCGGGTGATACACAAATAAGATACATTTCTGTTCATAGTTAAGGTACTTGAATGTATTTGTAAGATTTAAAGGAGAACTATGAGGTGAGTGCTTTTCACTCATCCTCATAGTTCTAGCCGACTTGTGACAATGAGACTGTCTGTCATAGGTCGGCTAAGTAGATCGGGAAGTGAGCGAACACATACCGGCGTTCGCTCACCTCTCGATCCTGTTACGGCTCTCTGCCGTGACAGGGGAGGGGCTGGATTCCCCCCTCCCCGCTCCGATCCTCCAGCGCTGACTGGCGGAGCGGACGGGGGAGGGGGCGGGTACAGCTGGCTCTGCCTCTAGATAGGCAGAGCCAGCTGTCACTCACGCAGCTGGGTGGATCCAGACATAATTGTCAGGATCCACTTCAGCGGCAGCTCGCGGTATACTGAGCCTAGGGTGACGGGAGTACGCTAGTTTGTGTCCTCCCGTTACCCTAAGGAGAACTATGGGGAAAAGCCCTAACCCCATAGTTCTCATTTAAGGCCTGAGTTTAGTGTCACTTTCAAATTACAGAGCGAGTTCAGCTGAATGTGACTTCTACCACTAGCTACATTAAAAGCCGTTGCGTCAGCTTTGTGACCTATGCCATCATACCAGCAGTGGACAAATGACTCTACAACTTGGTAACCAGTCAGTCCACTGAGCAGTTTCCATCATACACAAAAGTTTTCCATGGTGTTGTAAATTATGATTGAAGTAGATATTTTAGGGGTATATTTCGGGTGTATGTGTAAGTAAATAACAAACTCTTCCCCCACAAAGAATATGCAAAGAGAGAGAGGCATATGTTAATTTGACTTATTTTTTACAGATTTAGCCTCTGTATACGTACTGTTGCAGTACTGTCTGTTTACCACAAGGTGGCAGTGAGAGCTGAATTTTATGTGCTGGTTTTCACGGATGAGAGATGTTAGAATGTGATTTGTTCAGGTTGTATGTATGGTATGTATGGTATGTATGTATGTATGTATGTATGTATCTTGCAAGTAAACTAAAATGGCATGAGTAATAACTGCGATATGATTGCATGATCCCTGGCAGAGGTGTAACTAGAACCTCGGGGCCCCGGTGCAAGAAACCATTAAGGGCGCCCCCCCCAAAAAAAAAACATGATTTTGATACCTCCTTCTTCTACTTCTTCTTCTTCTTTTTTTTTTTTTAAACCGGTTTGAAAAGGTGTTGTGTTTTTTTAAAAGTTTTTGCATATCTCTACTGCTTGGTAGCCGTACATATATGCGAAAACACCTGAGGGTTTAATAACACTTTAAAGCATTTTATAAATTTTTGGTTGGAAAACAAATGACACTGCAAGACAATGACACTACTCTGCACATATACAACAATCAGTACCTACCTGGACCTGCTGCGGCTCTCCTCCAGAATGTCCTCCCTCACAGCTCCTGATCTCTGTGCCTCCAGGTTCCAGCTCCAGGCTGCCAATCCCTAATCTTCGCTGACCACGCTGCCAGGACGTCCTACAGCGGGTATCCCGCCAGCTCCCTCGTCAGGTGCCTGCTGGGAACTGGAGTTCCCTGACAGGCCACACCCCCCGCTAATCCCTGGCTGCCTGTCAAGTGTGAACCCCACCAATGTCAAATTGCACCTAAATATTCACTGCTGCTTTCACTGTTGTGGTAACTTTCTCATTGCTGGTACACTGTAGAATGTGCTTGGCACCACCAGAGATTTACATAGTATAGGGCGATAGTAGCATGTTCATGACATTTACTGCAGTATACTGACACACATTTACAGCATGGTCATTGAAATGTAAATAGCAATTGAATCCACGATGA